TATACTTTGGCTGTCCGTTTCCTCCAATGAGGAAATTCTTCACCTCTCTTCCCAGTGAACTGCGTAAGGCTACACTTGGCAAACACGGCTAGGAGTCCTTTTCAAAACATCCTTCTTCCTATTTTGAAGTTGGCACTGATGAATAGGCAAATTTTCCTCTTAAATGAAACTAACGCTTGAGGTCACCCTAAGTTGAAAGGATTTGACAGCAATCGGTTTGCTTTTCAATTTTATTTTTCTGACTGGAGCGCTACTGTGAAGTAAACAAATAATGAGGTGGTCCAGTGTATCCCATGAGAGGACAAAACTTTAGAGAAACCAACCTGAGGACTAGGAGTTCAGAAAGCTGCTAGCGACACGTCAGGATGCCCATGAGAAAGCATGCAGTAAGGGGCGAAAGGCCCAATTGCTCTTCATTTGTGTGTGTGTGCGTGTGTTTACAGGATATTTCCTCTGGTTTTCCTTAACACTTGTATATTAATTAATTAATCTTTAATCTGATCATCAGATTGGTTGTCATGTCTTCCCCCAGTTTGTTTGCTTGGTCGTTTTTTCATTCTAATGTGATTTTCATTTGGTTCTCATGGAAGCTTAACGTGATGAAGTATACTGAATAGCTCTTTGATAGAATTTGTTTAAATCATGAAAGCGCAGGCTGAAACATCGGAAAGGATGTGGGTTATTGTTAGAATCTCCACCTTTATTGGCACATTATTCAAGTGTGTTTTATAATCACTTTTTCCCCTAGTAAACACACTTGCAAAGACAATCACATTGTGGTTATGTAGACAAATGGTGCTTCTAAACACATTGAGCTGTTCTTTCTTTAGGATAAATACACCTGGTCCTCCAGAGGTTACGCATTAGATACATAGTTAAGACACTCTGTAATTATCATCAGATGTTGACTTCATTACCTAGCCTACGCTCATTTTTAGCCTTGAACTTTGGTCAGAAAAAAACTGTTTAGAGTCACCTACTTTGAATCCATTTTTAGCCGAATGGATGGTGTAATTCTAAATTCTGCCATTTAGACAAACTTTTAAAAATATATATTATTTTTGATCTAGTCCAATATGTATATAAATTAGAACTTAAGAGAACTGGATTAGAAGATGTCCAGGTTGCTTTGCGATGAGTTCAAGGAAGGCAAT